TTTGAAAACGTACATGCACTCTCTCTCACACACACACACACACACACACACACATTAGCAAGAGCTTCTTTCGTACACACCCACATACTTAGAATCATATACAGACAATACACAGTTGTTGCATACGCACACCTGACCTCCCGGTACACTCTGAAACAAGCGAGGAAACTCCCTTGAGGTTCCAAAGAGGCTTAGTATTTTCTTTTCTTCTCGAGTGGCTAAAGTGCACGCCTTTTTCACTGTTAATAAAATGTTTTTGTTTCATTACTTTACTTGCTTTTATGTTTTCCCTTGTGAAGACAAACGCATTGTTAGTGTTATGTCTGGTCTAAAAGACATAATTTACATGTTATGTCTAAAGCAGACATAACATGTAAATATGCAAGTATTTCGATGGTAAATATCTGACTTTTAAGTTTTAGGATCTTGTGCTATTTTCCGGTCACAGTGTTTAATATTCAGGATTAATTTCTGGGCATGAGCAGCTTTTATTAATATTCTGTCCAGAGTGACCCTATAAGGATGTCATATTCGTTGTGAAGCAGTGTGTACTTAACATTCATCCAAATAATGGTACTTTTATCATCGTGTGTACTCTCCGCAGCTGTATTTCTGTCAGACGTGCACTCTGCTCTGCTAGTTTGTCTCGGCGCGCTGACGGCAAGTTGGGCTTTCCTGTAAACATCTCGGGCAGCCTAACCCCTGTCTCTCCCACCGTCTGCCTGAACCGGCCCTCACCTCCCCTGGCTGACGAGGCCCAGCCTGTACGTGTCAGTGGGCGTCTGAGTTATGAAAGAGCCGCGTCTCCCTCTTCACTCCATCCCTCTCCGTCCCTCATTCTTCCAGCCGGGAGAGTCAATGATCCAAAACTCTGTTAAAACAGGGTCAACCCCACATGTGCACTTACAGGTTGTCAGTTTAACCTGCTCAAAAATACTTACGGCTATTATTATAGCTTATAAATCATTAAGAAAGTTTAATTATACAAAAATTTCATGGTGGAAATGTTCAGGATGACACATGGGAAGGAGAATTTAATGGGCCAGCAAGTCCCAGCACAGAGAGGGGAAATATTGAGGTTAGCTTTCTATTTTATGGCACTGCCGAAAGGCTGAGGGAGACACATAGTTGGGTTTTGCCCTGTTGATACACACACTCTGAAATATACCGTTCCCTCATTTCAGTGCGAGAGCAATATCCACGCCGGCTTCGACAGTTTCAGAGGTGATGAAGATGTTGCTGTAATCGCACCTAGTACTATTCTTTCTTAAGTAAAATCTCCCCTAATTAACACAAGACTTTAATTAGCTATCGGGATTTCATCTGTCTTTGTGAGACATCTGCGTTCCACAAAAATAATGTTCGGCACTTATTTTGTAGGTGTGTTTAGAAGCGCTGAGGAATAATGTAATGACTTCAAATGTACAGTTTAAATTGATTCCTCTGAATTCATAACTAATATAAACATAAAGGTAATATATGATAATAAAGATGAATGATTCCTAATAATATACAATATCTTTTATTAAGTCAATACTTCAAGGTTCCTACAGTCAAAGAAATTTTGGAAAATGTCATATAATTGTAAAATTGTGGAATAGTTGTGCAATTGAAGTGTCAATTGTCGTATATATATAAACCATTCAGTTTGGGGTCTGTTTCTTTTTTTTTCTCTTTTGAAAGGAAAAAAATAATTTTATTCAGCAAGAACACATTTAATCATGAGCTTTTGACAATAAATGTTACAGTAAATACATTTCTAATGTTCAGTGTTGGGGAGTAACTAGTTACATGTAACGGCGTTACGTAATTTAATTACAAAATAAATGTAACTGTAATCAGTTACAGTTACTAAGAAAAAATGTGTAATTAAATTACAGTTACTTATGAAGAGTTGATGTATATGCTTTTATTTATTATTATTTTTTAATTAACTTTTTTTTCCCAAACCATTGTTAGATGCAGTGTTTCCTGTAGTTATGCAAAGATTTGGTTTCAAAAAAAGTAAACTTTTTCTTATGATTTTAAATCTGCATTGAACTTCAGATCAATCTCAAAGTAAAAGGCGGTACTAAAGTCTGATTTTGTGGTGGATGTGTTCAAATTTCATCATTTTAATTCAAGTGATGAAGGATTTTGAAAGTCTGACAGTGATGAGCACTACTGTAAGGTTAACCCTGCATGGTGTAAATGTTTGAAAATGATTACAGTTGCAAATAAACATTCATTAGAAATGTAGAAAAGTAATCAAAAGTAATCAGTTACATTACTTTAATAAAGTAATTGAAAAAGTTACACTACTATTACATTTTAAATAGGGTAACCTGTAATCTGTAACCTATTACATTTCCAAAGTAACCTTCCCAACACTGATAATGTTACAAAAGATGTGTATTTCACAGGAATTAATTGCATTAATTCAGTTTTAAACTTTGATAATAATAAGAAATGTTTCTTGAGCACCAAATTAGCATATTAAAATTATTTCTAAAGGAACATGTGACATTGAAGACTGGAGTAATAGCAGTTGAAAATTAATATTTGCCATCACATAAATAAATTCAGTTTTAAAATACATTAAAATAGCAAAAAGTTATTTTAAATTATAGTGATATTTTACAATATTACTGTTTTTACTGTATTTTTATCAAATATGCTTGAACCATACATCGATGTCTATGTATCTTAACGGACATTGCATTTTACAAAGATCAATTTGTAACTAATGAAATATTTTAATTTCAATAACTATTTCATGACAATATGGAGACAATATGGGAAATATGGGAAATTGAATTGGTCAGTAGGTGTGGGAATCTTGCTAATATAATTGACATTGAAATAAGAGATCAGTTGAATCGGTGGCATCTGACCAATTGAAAACTATGTAAAATCAACAACTGCCCACCAACAGTTGTAGCCGGCTGAATGAGCTGCACTACATGTGAAAATACGAACAAAGAGTGAAGACACAAAAGGAGAGTTTGCCGTGATGATACGCACTCCCACACTTGTCGGTACAGTGTTCAGACTCCGCTCTCTCTCCAGGGTTCAAGGCATTGCAGGATCAATGCAGAACGGGTCCAAAATGAGGGGCCCCATCAGCCTTTTATCATCCAAACCGAGATCTCTCCTCATGGGCCCTGTGCCAGGCACAGCTGCTCCAGGGCCCCTCTTTCTCTGATGAGCACATAATACGCACACACACGCAGACACTGCTGGTACACTATCTGTGTGTTTTACTTCGCTATCAATATGTTTTCAGCATGTTAGGTATTTGAAGTTGAAGCATATCGGCATATCTTCTAACTTGCCTCAAGGCGTCGAGAGGCTAGTTAAAGTTTATTACTTGAGTTCATTTACAGCTATTTATTGCATCTAGAAGACCTGCCATTTCTGACAAATAAATCTTTAACACAAGATTCTATATCAGTACTGTGGTGCAGTAATGGTATCAAATGGTAATGCCATGGTACTGTCAAAAAACTCGGTATAGTTTGATTGTATATTTTGGTAATTGAAGCATAAACCGTCAGTGAGGCCTCAAAGAGCTGCAAGCTTCAGGAGTCGCCTGTGTGTGGCCTTTATTCGACAGTGACTGATGCCCAAGCGCACCCCACCCCTGAGCTCCCTTCACTTGCTCTTTCACTCATCCTGCCCCCATGTTTCCCTCTTTCCTCTTGTTTTCCATGAGTGCAAGCTCGACACAGCACCGCTGCCTTTCCTGGCACGCCGCTCCTTATCCTCTCGCTTTTGTTTCCAGTAGGTGTCAAACGCTCACCGCTTGTGCTGTGTCAGTAAATATTTACCCGGCTTCCTTTTCCTCGCCCGCCTTTGCTGACGTGTGTATGTGTGTGTGTCTGTCCGTGTAGCGTCGCCTGCTTGCCCCATCTCCGCTCACAAGGGTCCACTGATACCCCATTCTGGCCCAGCCTTTCCGGGACAACACACTGGACGATGTCATCCTTTGCACGTGGCATTCCACTCAGCGACAGGAAGTAGAAAGGGAAGTTATCGCCACTCGCTGTCCACTTACTAGCATCCATAAATCAAAAACTGGCCGCTGTGGCGCCTATAAATGCACACGTACCTAGGAATATACTCTTGGCTGGACGCTCACAGGGGTTAGATATATCCACACCGACGCACACGCTGCCTCCCCAGGGCCTCATAGTGTCCTGGTGCTTAGGGTTTCCTTCCTGCCCCAAAAACAAAAGACGGGCAGGCGCTGAGGCCCAGGCTTCAAAGCAGGGGAAGGTGCGAGTGTTGTCTCTTCCTGTGCAGGGTGTCGGAGCTCCAGGGGCAGCTGCCGCTGTTTTCTCAGCCCGAGCGGGGGGCCAGAGGAATGAGGGCTGGCCTGTGCCCTCTTGGACCTGGAGAATGAAGAAAGGCCAGAACTTTCCACCTCCTTTGGAGCCCCTCTTGGCTCCAGAGGTTAGATGTCTTCGTGGGGTCAGCACAATGCTAGCAAAGGACACTGAGATGAAGTTTATCGTGACACCGCTGAACTATCAAGCCAAAGAACATGTATTTTAAAGAAACGTCACATGTGACCGATATATTGTTCAAACTTAAAATGAATGTATTAGACACTTTTGGGTTGTAAAACATGTTGTGGATTTTGTGCAGAGGTTTTGTGATGAACTATAGCTTGCTTAAATTAGGATATACATTTGCACTAATAACTACTAGTAACTTCTAAGGCTTAGTAACTACTAATAACTACTGACTTAAAATAGTTTTCAAGGCAAGACATAGCTGCAGTAATAGGTTGTAAGCACTCCATAAAGTGGGATCTAGTAGCTGAATATGACATCTGCCCTTTATTAATTCAAGAAGAAGACTTTAAATGTGTAAACCGAATTATTGTTGAGTAGCTGTGCATGTCAGTTACTCTTGTTACATGTTATATTTCATATTCCTTTTGCTTGATGTAACTGTCAGTGGTAATAATTTGAAACTATACTGTGTGTGTGTGTGTGTGTGTGTGTGTGTGTGATGAAAGTAATCAATATATTATATATTCAGAGGATATTTAAATAATTTAATATTTATTTATTTATTTTATTTCTTCTGATATGAACACATGATGACACAGGGGAAAGCGTGGTTTGGATCATTTTTTTGGATCAAAAATTAATTTGTTCATATGTTGTTGTATATCTTAAAAGTTTAAAACTGTGGTATCAAATAATGATATAATCATACAGGTCTAAAACATGTAAAATAAAACCAAATGGCTGTTCATTCAGGTTAGAGGATTCTGTAAGTATGTAGCTTATCTGTTCGGTTTTGTTTCAACTAAGGTTAATGGCGCAGCAACACTCAAGTATTTAATAGTGCACAAGTCATAACACAAAGATGGCGCAACTGGCCCCAGTTAAAAGTAATATTTAATTTGAAGAAAAGGATAGCATCATTTGTTGGTAGATCTAGATTGTCCTGTTTGATACTGCTGACTATGCCAAATTTGCTAGATTCTTTGACATTGGTGCGTTTTTAAGTGTATCTTACTTTATGGTCCAAATACTTTTTAGGGCCAGTGTATACATTTGCCAAGACATACTGCTGTTGTGTGGATGTGCATGTATGTAGCTGTGCACAGTGTTGGCCCTCTCTCACTGGTCGTAATTGGACCGTTAATCAATCAAATATTTAAGCTTCATTTTACCACACAGTGGGATGTCCAGATTATGGCAGCAGTTTGGATGCATTAGTCTGGACTCAGCACCGATGCTAACAGCATGGCTTCCTGAATCAGCCCGCATCTGGATTCGCACGCACGTGTGCGTGAGTGTGTGCGTTCACAGTGTCTTCCCTCACCATGGTAATTGCCGCTTTTTTCATGGTGCTATTTGTTGGTAAGCACGTTCCTTTTTAAAAGCCCGTGTTATTTATTTATCTCTTCGCTACTTTATTCCTCCCTCATTCTTCTGGGAATGTGTTGAGTGTTTTTTCCCCCCTGCCTCCAGGGATGCCATTGTGGATTACCATTCAGTTCTCACCTAATTATCTGGTGACTTGCACTGCCTTTGACACGTAATTATCAAAGCCCTAAATAATTGTCTTATTGCTTGTGTGTTTGCATGTAGGTCTCATGGAGAGCGTTCTCTTTTGTCGCCAGGACGGCTGAAATGGTGGAGTATTTATCGCCGCACGAGAGTCGCCTCCCCGCCTTTCTTATCGTTAAACTCTCCTATTTGCTTGTGTGTATGTGTTTCACACTATTCTGTGTTCGAAATGCAGGGGTAAATAAAGAAGCGCTTCCATTGCGGTCATCTTCATTAAGGAAAATGCGATTTTCAACAACTGAAGTCGAGCAATTAGCTCACTACGTGACGTGAAGCCACTTAAAGTGCTAAATGCTGTATTTTACAGTAGAGGTCACTTAAGAGGTCAAACAGACGGAGAGAGTGAGAGCGAGATTGGAGGGAGGATATATGACAACGGGGATATTTTGTCCTCATCAGCTGCAGGATTTAGCCAAAATCGGAAAGACCATTTCAGCTAGCTGGTCCAAAATCATCCTTGTGTCTTTAATTGGGTTTCTACTGATTGGGGTCTCATAGCAACTGGGCTGTGTAGCAAAAGACAGATGAAGGGAACAGCCTTAATGGAGCTTATCTGGAGAAAAGGAAGGAAAAACTGCTGTCTTCAGAGGTTTCCCGCTGGCTGTCCTTGATTCTATTTGACCGAATGTCATGACTGACCATTTACTACATCACGGCATTTTCAAAATCACCTAGTGTAAACAATATATAATAACAACTAGCCCATACCAACTCCTGCCTGTGAGAGTTGTGCCGGCTTTATTATAGTACTTGCAAGGTAGCGCTGAACCGATATTCTTCAAACCTTTCTGATAGAGGGGTTTATTCATGTTTGGGGTCAGTACAGTTTTGTTAATGTTTTTGAAAGAAGTCTCTAATTCACATCAAGCGTGCATTTATTTGATCAAACATACAGTACGACTATTGTGAAATATTATTCGAATTTAAAATAAATGTTTTCTATTTTAATATTAATTTATTCCCTTTGAAGGCAAAGCCATTACTTCAGTCTTCAGTCTTCACGTGATCCTTCTGAAATCCTTGTAACATGTTGATTTGGTGATCACAAAATATTTCCTATTATAATCAGTGTTGAAAACAAGATACTTAAGATATTAAGTGAAGATCATGTTCCATGAAGATATTTTGTAAATTTCCTACCATAAATATATCAAAACTTAATTTTTGAATAGTAATAGGCATTGCTAAGAACTTAATTTGGACAACTTTAAAGGCGATTTTCTCAATATTTAGAATTTTTTGCACCCTCAGATTCCAAATTTTCAAATAGTTGTATCTCGGCCAAATATCCTAACAAGCCACACATCAATGGAAAGCTTATTTATTCAGCTTTCAGATGATGTATAAATCTAAATTTCTGAAAATTACCCTTATGACTGGTTTTGTTGTCCAGGGTCACATATAATACATTCTTTGCTGAACACAAAGTTAAAAATAACATCATTTATTTCATATATACTATAGATAGTCTTTGCTGTCATTTTTAAACAATTCAGTGCATCCTTGCTGAATTAAAATATTAACTTCTTTAAAAAATTGGACAGACTCCTTTATAAATGGGCCTATAATTACATTCAAAAAGAAGTCAAAATAGTCTTTTTTTTTCTTTAATGCACAGTATCGGTCTTATTCATCATTAGTGCATGTTGTTTTCACAATATGATGTGCATAATGAATTGTGACTGGTATTCTTTCTTACATCTATTTGCATACTGAATTGTGATTTGTCTTCCTTGCAGCTTTATAACCATTTACAGCTACTTTTACACTGCATAGTAACTAAGTGTTGATTCTTGTGAGCAGCCGACTGAGAAAAATACTTGTATTGAGAGTCATAACAACGAATGCAGCATTTCATTTTTTACAGAACCGAAAATTTAACACTCATTTTCTGGTGCCTTTCGAGCACTGTTAGTTTCTTTAGAAAATGCTAATTTGACTGCTAACACAGTCGTGTTGAAAATGAGGGAGTGATGTTTTCGTTCCATCTCGGAGGCTGGATGTCATCTCCGTCTCGTTGCCTCCTTCATCGCACTTTCACCTCTCCCCCTGTCTCTCCTCCTCAAGCCAGATGCTCAAGTGCAAAGAAAAGGGCAGAAGTGAGATAGCAAATTTTTCAACATCTGTCTCTGTTGATTTTAGTGCAACAAGTACTTCCACATGTTTGCTTTTTCTTCGCGCTGTTTCTGGGCAGGAGGTTGATGAGCACAGCTGCCCGGTTTCTTTCTTTTATGGGTACAGACCAGCTGAGAGAGCGGCTCACGTGGTGCTATAATGCTTAAGCTAATGTACGGAGGAATGTAGATTACGAGTGTTTTTAAGGCTTTGGTCCCGTGCGTGCCGTCATTCTTGCTCGCTCCCTTGCGTTGATTGGCCTGACAGTACACTATTTATTTTTTCATTGGTTCATATGTTCTTTTAATAATTCCAGTGCTTGGCTGTGCCCACAGGGCATTTGGACTTTTAGGTTCACAGTGACGGGCTCTCTGAAGTTATGTGTGTGTGGGTAAGACCGTTGCAGACAGCATGTGTGGAGCACATCGACTGTCACTGAAGGACATCAATCAGAGCAGTGTGATGCTGTAAATCTAATACACATGTTTCAGTTTTCCCAATGGAAAACATCACAGATTCACACACATCAAAGCTGCTCTCTGTCATTTTCCTTTTCATATCCTATGCCCTTGTTTGCTTTGAGGTTCTGTTTACATGATTTTGTCAGGCCGTTTGTCATGGCATGAGTAAATCTGTCATTAGATACCATTACAACCTTTTTATGTGATTTAAATATTCAGCAGCATTGTAATAATATGCAATTCCCACTAATAGAGTACAAAACTGGGCCTTATTTATTTTTGTATTTAAAGTAGGAAAAATTAAAAGGAGACACTTCAGGAAATGTTGATCGTCAAAGCAAATATTTTTAATGTATTACAGTTTGTTTTTAAACCTTATGTGTTTTTTTTTATATATCAGTAAACTTTAAATAAACCAAAAAATATACATTTAATGTATGATGATGATGATAATAATAATAATAAATTAATAGAAAATTTATTCTGTTATAGATTTGAATGGCTTAACTTCACAGATGTATTAAAAAATAGTGTTTTGCATGTTTTTGAAAGAAGTCTCTAATTCACACCAAGCCTGCATTTATTTAATCAAACATACAGTACGACTAACAGTAATATTGTGAAATATTATTATAATTTATAATAAATGTTTTCTTTTTTAATATTCATTTAGTCCCTTTGAAGGCAGAGCCATTACTTCAGTCTTCATTGTCACGTGATCCTTCATGTTGATTTGGTGATCACAAAATATTTCCTATTTATAATCAGTCAAAAACAGTTGTGCAGCTTAATATTTTTGTAGATAATATGTGACCCTGGATCACAAAACCAGTCAAGGGTAGCATGGGTATATTTGTAGCAATAGCCAACAATACATTGTATGGGTCAAAATGATCTGTTTTTCTTTTATGCCAAAAATCATTAGGATATTAAGCAAAGATCATGTTCCATAAAGATATTTTGTAAATTTCCTACCGTAAATATATCAAAACGTAATGTATTACTTAAACTTAAACTTATTATTAAAACTGAAACTTATTACAATTTGTTTTTAAACCTTATGTGTTTTTTATATCAGTAAACTTTAAATACGCCAAAAAAGATACATTTAATGATGATGATAATAATAATAATAATACATCTATAGAAAATGTATTCTGTAACAGATTTGAATGGCTTAACTTCAGAGATTTATATAAAAAAAATACAAAGTGAAAAAAAAAATTAGAAAAAGGAATATTATTTACTGTAGAACATAGTGAAATTCTCTTCTTGTACAGCTACTTTTAATATTACATTTTGTGTTTCATAGTAGTTTCAATAGCATATATAGTTTCAAATATAAAAAATAAATAAATAAAACACCTAATGCTTCTAATGCTTTTGCAGTCATATGATACCAGTGTACCAAGAATTGCTAGAAAGTCACAATCTCTGTTTGGTTCTTTTTATTTCAAGTGCTTTTTAAACCATGTATATCTGGAAGATATTTAGTTACCTTTCTAAAGTCTGAATGCTGTCTTTACTGACTTTAGTAGTTTTTAAAAGGTTGAATTTGCTGGCCTCCTGGGTATCAATGAAACAGAAAGACATTTTAGCCATGTTTCAGTCACTATGGCTTTTGAATATATTTGCATGCATGTGTGTGTGTGTTTGTTCTCCATCTAGGCCTTTCTTTTGTCCCCGTTAATGTTTTAGTTATGCAAGGACATTCAGTGAGGCCACAGTGTGTGTGTGTGTGTGTGTGTGTGTGTGTGTGTGTGTGAGTGTGTGTGTGAGAGCACGCGTGTGAGCCGCCATGTGCTTCTTCCCCTTTTCTTTAAGAGGATGCTCCTGAGAAAAGCTTATCAGCGGTGTGATGTATTAGTCCTTAGTGCCTTAATAGATTCCATTTATCTCTATACAGTCCCTCTAATTTAAATGGGCTTGGGGAATGTATTAAAATGACTATGGACACTTTGATGTAGCACCAGGCCAGGTGTAGCTCCTGTAAAATGGATCACATAAAGTGATTGTTAACCTATTGTTGTCAGACCGGCCCTTTTTCTCTAGCCGTTTATCTTGAATGGAATAGTTAGCGTGACAGGCTGACTCCTTTGGATTGCACACAATCTAAAATACAAGGATGAAAAGCAGCACCTCTTCATATATTTTTCACTTGCAGAAGCAGTTTTCATGTTCAGAAAATGCATGATGGTGTTTTGATAATTACCGTGGTTATTGAATGATGAATCCAACAGTACATTATGCTCTAAAAGATGCATTTCCATTAGTAAAGAGTAAACTGAAAAGCACCGTAAATTTGAAACAGTGATATCATATGCTATTTGCTAACGTACCTCTCTCCCACTCAGATGATTCAGCGAGAAGCAGAAGTGAAGAATCATGTCCGTGCGGTGGCCATGACTGACTCTGTCCATAACGTCTTGTGTGTGTGTGTGTGTGTGTGTGTGTGTGTGTGTGTGTGTGTGTGTGTGTGTGTGTGTGAGTGTGTGTGTGAGAGCACGCGTGTGAGCCGCCATGTGCTTCTTCCCCTTTTCTTTAAGAGGATGCTCCTGAGAAAAGCTTATCAGCGGTGTGATGTATTAGTCCTTAGTGCCTTAATAGATTCCATTTATCTCTATACAGTCCCTCTAATTTAAATGGGCTTGGGGAATGTATTAAAATGACTATGGACACTTTGATGTAGCACCAGGCCAGGTGTAGCTCCTGTAAAATGGATCACGTAAAGTGATTGTTAACCTATTGTTGTCAGACCGGCCCTTTTTCTCTAGCCGTTTATCTTGAATGGAATAGTTAGCGTGACAGGCTGACTCCTTTGGATTGCACACAATCTAAAATACAAGGATGAAAAGCAGCACCTCTTCATATATTTTTCACTTGCAGAAGCAGTTTTCATGTTCAGAAAATGCATGATGGTGTTTTGATAATTACCGTGGTTATTGAATGATGAATCCAACAGTACATTATGCTCTAAAAGATGCATTTCCATTAGTAAAGAGTAAACTGAAAAGCACCGTAAATTTGAAACAATGATATCATATGCTATTTGCTAACGTACCTCTCTCCCACTCAGATGATTCAGCGAGAAGCAGAAGTGAAGAATCATGTCCGTGCGGTGGCCATGACTGACTCTGTCCATAACGTCTGGCACCAGGAGGCCAACAAGTCCATTCGGGACTGGCTCAGAGAGGTACAATCTTCCATCAACATCGTGCCAAAACCTTTATGTTCTCAATCACAGCATCAATATCGGCCACACAGCTCAGCTCAAACAGCCTGGCATTTCATTCAGCGAGCAAATACACTCCAGAAGCAGGAGTCACGGAAAGCCAATAGTTTGTTTTTCATCCCACACTCTTGTTTGTCTGTTTGGGCAGATGTCAATAAGAAATCAAAGCCAAACGCCGCCACACGCAGGCAGATGCTCTGTTAGTATGTCAGTTTTATTTAGTTGCTGCCCTTTCAGCGATGACCTCGAGTCCAGAGACAACACCTGGGAACACTCAATATGCACATAAATATGAGAGAGTGGATCCCAAGCCAGGGCTACAGGGGAGCCAGCCATGCAAATGCCAAGCGCAAACACGCACCCTTGCCTCTCACCCGCTTTCTCCGTCAACACCGGACCACCCAGCCCACCAGAAAAAAATGTCTTTCATTCCTTTGTCTTTGCTGATCTGCTTTGCTCCGTCAGATGTTTGCTTGCCTTTTGTTTGCCTTGGTGATTATTTATTTTTTTTTTGGTCTGTTCGGATCATGGGCTCTTTCTTCTCTTTCATCCTGTCAAGTTATGTGTTCTTTCTTTCTTTCTTTCTTTCTTTCTTTCTTTCTCTCTCTGATGAGTGCAAAAGTGTCAATTTGGTGTAATTGGAATATTAGGGGATTTATATGTGTGATTTTTTTGCCCTGAATAATAAGTCCATCAAAAATAGGAACACGTTGTCGTCGGTTTGTTCTTTCTTATACGTTCCGGTGGTGTGACTTACACTAGAGACATAAGGAGGAGACAGAGCACTCGCAGAATAATAAATGTGAGAATATGTGTAATGCTTGATATGACAGCTGTAGTAATAGAAGTCCTGCCTTTAAGTTAAAAGAGCCTAAAAAATACAGCTGTTCAGTGTGATTTTAAGATAAAGAAGCACAATTTAAGATACAATTGTCAGATGTTGTCAAAATGTTGGTAACACTTCAGTATAGGGAACAATTCTCACTATTAACTAGTTGCTTATTAGCATGCCTATTATTAACATATTGGCTGGTTATTAGTACTTATAAAGCACATATTCTGCATGACCATATCCTGCATCCCTAATCCTACCCAATACATAAACTTAACAACTACCTTTCTAACTATTAATAAGAAGCAAATTAGGAGTTTATTGAAGCAAAAGTAGTAGTTAATGGTTTGTTTATAGACTTCAAAATAAAGTGTGAACAAAATGTTTTATTGAAATGTGTTGTAAATGAGATTTCAGTCTTTCTGTGTTCAGGCCTTAAATTATAGTTCACCCAAAAATAAAAATGTGTTTATTCGCCCCCATGTCTTTCTAAACCTGTATGACTTTATTTATTTTGTGGAACACAAAAAATATATTCTGAAAAATGTTTTTGTCTATGCAATAAAAGTCAGTGGGGTCCAAAACAATGCTGACCTTGACTGTATGGACAAGAAATATTTAAAAAATTGCAAAATGTCTTATTTTGTGTTCCACAGAAGAAAATCATAGAGGTTTGAGCCGACATGAAGATAAGTAAATGATGATAGTATTTTTTTTTTTTTGGGTGAACTATCCAGTTAAAGTGGCTTGCTTGCACAGACTATTATTAATGGCAGAAGAAAAGGCTTTGTACATTCTCACACACTCGCAAGTGCTGCCAAACATTGAGGACACCAAAATATTAATTTGTCAGGGGGCCTGATTAACACAGATGAGGTCGGGCATTTTATTTAATTGATTTTCAGATCTAATTCATCCCAATAATTGAAGCCAGAGGGTGGACTCTCACTTCAGGAATGTTAAAGTCACTTTCAGTCCTTTCGTGTCACCCGTTAACCCCTAATCCTTTTTACTCCTGTAGGAATTGGGACCAGGGTTGTGTGTAAAGACGTTCAGATTTCCCACTGCCTGTGTCTCCACCGTAGACCTGTCTTTAATCAGGGTCAGGACCCCATCTCCTTCCATAGTAACGTCCATAGCAATCATGATTTGGACATTATTCAGGTTTGAGATCACTGTTTCTGGCCAGGCAGGCATCTCTGTAGGGGTTTGTGGGAGGTGATGCTCCGTTCCTTGCACAATCGTGAGCTCTTTCGTGCAGGGGGTGGTAATTCCCCTTCTCCTCCTGAGGGAGGTGGAGATGGAGGGATGAGAGTTGAGAATTGGAGGGATTTTCAGGACGAGAGCGCAGTAGGACAGGTGATGTGGCGATAATGGGTCAGACTAAGGGCATATGAGGGAGAGAGAGGGGGAAGGGAAGACACGGGGAAGACAGACATAAACAGAGCAACCTGAAGGAGGATAAGAGTCCCTCGGGAAGCAGTGGTATATACTGAAGGGGAAGAAATGGTGAGAGAAAATCTCCTAGGACATAGAGAGAGAAGAGAGAAATAGAGTAGAGAAATATCCGTTGTCCATGAGAATACCTGCAAGTGGCTGGAAAGCTGCAGTGATGGAAAGATAAATGACAAAAAAGCTAAAAATATAAACACAACATACTAGTACTAGTTGAGAGAGAAGTAGACCTTACACAGCAGCAAAACAGCAGACACTCAAAAAAAAAAAAAGGCAGAAAAAAACAGCAACTACATATATTGCATTTTACGGGACCTTTTTGAGTCACAAATCTTAAGAAACGTGAATTATTGGAAGCTAGATAAAATCCCGTGTTAGATCAGAATTTCCCCAAATGTTGTCTTAACTAGTCAAACAGTTTTCTGAACAAAGACTTTGAAATTACTCAGCATTGCTGAAATTGTAAGGGTTTGTGAGTTACCAGCATGCACTGCAGCATGAATAAATTACGCAGTTACTGGTTTAGGATTATTGGTTTGCTGGGTTTTTTTTTTTTTTTTTTTTTTGGTCAGTGTTGTTAGTTATTTGTTGTTTTGTGATGTTGAAGGGTTATTTTGCCCAAAAATGAAAATTCTGTCATCATTTACTCACCCTATGTCATTCCAAACTTCTTCAAAACACAAATGAAGGTATTTCTAATAAAACCTGAAGAGGTTTCTGTCCCTCCATTGAAAGTCCAGTGAAACAAAGCTTAGAAGATCTGAAAAGTCATAAAGGCACTGTAAATTGAATCCATATAAATTGAGTGGTCTTGTGAAGAGATACTAGTGTTTTTTTGATGATGAAAATATTTAATTTAGGTTTATATTCTCATATACACATACACAGAGCACATCACATTAGGTATACTATATATTTTTGGGTGAACTATTACTTATTACGTTTTACATTTGTTGCTTGTTGCTGTTCTTGAGGTTTGTGTCTGATGTCTGTGTACAGCCTTCTAAAACTATATCCCAGATAGCTTTACTTTGTAATGTGATTATGTGTCAGAAGCAAAGATAGCATAGTTCATTTCCCATATTAAGCATCCTACATATATTGCTTTGGTGAATATATGGGCCTAATGAGGCATTTTTACATTTCCTTTTTATAGAGTACTTCTGAGCAATTTGGGCACGTGGCAGCTTGTTGCCCAAGACACTCGTCTGTCTTGTAGAATACAGTGGCTGAGGTGTGATGCACCACAGTGCAACTGGGACTGACTGAGCAGAATGCGGCATGTTAAAGGGCAGCTAAAGGATAGGAGGCCAGACGCAGAGATGCTTAATAAGTGCAGGTAGGAGAGAGAGCACTCTCAGTGGGATCCAACACCTGTCTTCCGTTTACCTTCTCTAACTGGGCCATTAGGAGTCCGCTTAGAGTCCCACCATGCTCCAGTACCCCATCTCCCTGCCCAGAAGAGCCGGGAATACCACAACCATATGGCCCTGATTAATTCTGATGGGCCTCACCGTAGACGATTATCACACATTTGTGTCCGTTTGTCATTTTCATTTTGTGTGGCTTCAGCTGGGATGGGATTTGAAAGTGTTGCAGAGCATTCAAAAACTCTGACAGATAAATTTATTTAGTTCAGATGTGTGTTGAGACATCATATTTAAACACAAGGTATAGCTATATTCTGTGCAAGAATGTGAAAAACTAGATATTTTTTATGATGGACTAATCGTTGGGTTATCTGAACATATTGGCTGCATACTAAAATCCAAGAAGTTGGAAAAACTAAAATCTCTAAATTCATTGCTTGTACAGCACGTTGACTAAAATATCTAAAGAATTAGCTCACTCTGAAATGAAAATTCTGTCATCATCAATATTTTGAAGAATTTTTAAAACCGTTTTAGACCATACACTGAATGTCAGTGGTGTCCAAAACAACAGCATTAATATAAAGGATAATTGCATTTTTCAAAGTAACTTCTACATTGTTCCACAGAAGAAAAGTCATACAGGTTTGGAATGATATGAGGGTGAATAAATGATGAGAGAATTTTGTTTTTGATTGAACTATTCGTTTAAGCTAAACCAAAAATCCAGATCCACTGGATCCTGACCCATCCCTAATTCTGTTCTTGATTCTTTTCTCTTTATCCACCTTATTTTACAACACAGATGTAAGCTATTTTTTGTGAATGTGGGATATTTAAGATTTGGTAAGTAACTAAAACAATAACAGTGCAGTAAACAGTAAAACTATTTGCATCATAAATCAGTGTATTTATGATTGTAGTCTCAGCCTCAGAAGTCATGCCCGCGGACCTTTGGCTGAACGTCTGATTTATATGACACAAAAAAACTAGAAACAGGAGTTTTGAAGTCATCATCTGATTTAGTTGAATTCTACTGAATTTTCGGGAGACGTGTGTGTCGCATTCTTTAAGGTTCCACCTGGAAACAAAGATTCCATTACGCCAAAACCTCATGGAAGAAGAAAGCTGTCGTGTTTACAGCTGTGACAATGAGCGCTTATCAGGATCAGCTAAACACTGGATTTTCAAAAGTATGTAAAGTTCACGGCATAGTCTCTTTAAAATGCGTCTAAGCGTTTTACACACTGGTCTGTTATTGTGAGGACATTTCCTCACCCCTAAACATGAGTCAGCACAAAATAAAACATGATTGATTGCTTAACCTGTCAATCATATGGGCTCTTGGGCAGTCCATGGCCATTCAAAGCAGCCATGGTTCCCAGACCTTCATATGTATTTGTTCATTTCCAATTTGTCTATTTAATTCTTGGTTTTTACTTGTATTATCAGGCACTTCTATTAAATGCTTTATTAGCTAAAGGGACATATTTTGAGAATGTAGTTGGATTACATTGTCATTTTTATGCTATTCAAGGCAACCACAAGCCATCAGATTTCACAAAAAGATTGGAACACTTCCAAAAGCTCAACCCAGCTCCTCTACCCCAAAAAATCCTTCCGCCATTCTTTTTTTTTATCTGTTCTTTTAAAGCTATGTCATCGTCTTACATAGTGGCCTTGGCCTTCTGTTTCATCTAAAACTCATCCTGGTGCATAAGCCAGCTCTGACAAATCTGTTGAAGCCTCTTCCCACCCCCCGCCTCTTTGCCACTCACTCTGGCTGGGACTCCGGTCTTTGAAATTCCTGCCCTTGCTTCCAGCCCAGCTGACATCTTTCTCCAGACGGCATGAATTAAGATTGTACAATAAGACACTTGATGCAGCAGTCAGGGAGCGCTCCTCTCATTGGCCCGGCTCCATGGTGCACAACTAGGGCATCAGGAATTCTAAAAATACACAATGCATGCCTGTTCATTCTAATGGCAGTTGTCTTCTCCCCCAACCCAGGCACGCAGGCGATTGACAGGATTAAGAGAGGAGAATAAAGACAAGAGAAGTGAGAGGAGAACTCCAGAGCCATGGCACAGGGCTTTTTCCCCCTGACTTTCAGTGCCAAGGAAAGGGATGGCTATGTATTGCAGCAGTAATTGAGCTTGCAAAAAAAAATATATATATATGATATTGTTTGTTGTTTTATTTTTATTGTTATTGTTGTTGCATGTATGTATACATGTGTGTGTATATATATATATATATATATATACAGTGGGTACGGAAAGTATTCAGACCCCCTTCAATTTTTCACTCTTTGTTATATTGCAGCCATTTGCTAAAATCATTTGTTAATTTTTTTTCCTCATTAATGTAC